GCTTTACACTACAGTTTTTAAACTGCAACATTAACACCCCTCCTTCAGAGTGCAGACACTGTACTTCCCATCTCCAGGACTCAAGTCCGGCCTGCCGGTTTCCCTGAACCCCTTCATAAATGTTACTTTGCTCACACTCCAATAGCACGTGAAGTATTAAAAACCATTTGTGTCCATTCACTCCTATCAAACACGCTCACGCATGCCTGCTGGAAGTCCAAGCCCCTCGCACACAAAACCTCCTTTACCCCCTCCCTCCAACCTTTCCTAGGCCTACCCCTACCCCACCTTCCTTCCACTACAGACTGATACACTCTTGAAGTCACTCTGTTTCGCTCCATTCACTCTACACGTCTGAACCACCTCAACAACCCTTCCTCAGCCCTCTGGACAACAGTTTTGGTAATCTCGCACCTCCTCCTAACTTCCAAACTACGAATTCTCTGCATTATATTCACACCACACATTGCCCTCAGACATGACACCTCCACTGCCTCCAGCCTTCTCCTCACTGCAACATTCATCACCCATGCTTCACACCCATATAAGAGCGTTGGTAAAACTATACTCTTATACATTCCCCTCTTTGCCTCAAAGGACAAAGTTCTTTGTCTCCACAGACTCCCAAGTGCACCACTCACCCTTTTCCCTTCATCAATTCTATGATTCACCTCATCTTTCATAGACCCATCCGCTGACACATCCACTCCCAAATATCTGAATACATTCATCTCCTCCATACTCTCTCCCTCCAATCTGATATCCAATCTTTCATCACCTAATCTTTTTGTTATCCTCATAACTTTACTCTTTCCTGTATTCACTTTTAATTTTCTTCTTTTGCACACCCCACCAAATTCATCCACCAATCTCTGCAGCTTCTCTTCAGAATCTCCCAAGAGCACAGTGTCATCAGCAAAGAGCAACTGTGACAACGCCCACTTTATGTGTGATTCTTTATCTTTTAACTCCACGCCTCTTGCCAAGACCCTCGCATTTACTTCTCTTACAACCCCATCTATAAATATATTAAACAACCACGGTGACATCACACATCCTTGTCTAAGGCCTACTTTTACTGGGAAATAATTTCCCTCTTTCCTACATACTCTAACTTGAGCCTCACTATCCTCGTAAAAACTCTTCACTGCTTTCAGTAACCTACCTTCTACACCATACACCTGCAACATCTGCCACATTGCCCCCCTATCCACCCTGTCATATGCCTTTTCCAAATCCATAAATACCACAAAGACCTCTTTAGCATTATCTAAATACTGTTCACTATATTTTTCACTGTAAACACCTGGTCCACACACCCCCTACCTTTCCTAAAGCCTCCTTGTTCATCTGCTATCCTATTCTCCGTCTTACTCTTAATTCTTTCAATAATAACTCTACCATACACTTTACCAGGTATACTCAGCAGACTTATCCCCCTATAATTTTTGCACTCTCTTTTGTCCCCTTTGCCTTTATACAAAGGAACTATGCATGCTCTCTGCCAATCCCTAGGTACCTTACCCTCTTCCATACATTTATTAAATAATTGCACCAACCACTCCAAAACTATATCCCCACCTGCTTTTAACATTTCTATCTTTATCCCATCAATCCCGGCTGCCTTACCCCCTTTCATTTTACGTAGTGCCACGAACTTCCCCTCACACTCACAACTGGCTCTTCCTCACTCCTACAAGATGTTATTCCTCCTTGCCCTATACACGAAATCACAGCTTCCATATCTTCATCAACATTTAACAATTCCTCAAAATATTCCCTCCATCTTCCCAATACCTCTAACTCTCCATTTAATAACTCTCCTTTCCTATTTTTAACTGACAAATCCATTTGTTCTCTAGGCTTCCTTAACTTGTTAATCTCACTCCAAAACTTTTTCTTATTTTCAACAAAATTTGTTGATAACATCTCACCCACTCTCTCATTTGCTCTCTTTTTGCATTGCTTCACCACTCTCTTAACCTCTCTCTTTTTCTCCATATACAGTGGACCCCCGCATAACGATCACCTCCCAATGCGACCAATTATGTAAGTGTATTTATGTAAGTGCGTTTGTACGTGTATGTTTGGGGGTCTGAAATGGACTAATCTACTTCACAATATTCCTTATGGGAACAAATTCGGTCAGTACTGGCACCTGAACATACTTCTGGAATGAAAAAATATCGTTAACCGGGGGTCCACTGTACTCTTCCCTCCTTGCATCACTTCTACTTTGTAAAAACTTTTCATATGCTAACTTTTTCTCCCTTACTACTCTCTTTACATCATCATTCCACCAATCGCTCCTCTTCCCTCCGGCACCCACTTTCCTGTAACCACCAACTTCTGCTGAACACTCTAACACTACATTTTTAAACCTACCCTATACCTCTTTGACCCCATTGCCTATGCTCTCATTAGCCCATCTATCCTCCAATAGCTGTTTATATCTTACCCTAACTGCCTCCTCTTTAAGTTTATAAACCTTCACCTCTCTTTTCCCTGATGCTTCTGTTCTCCTTGTATCCCATCTACCTTTTACTCTCAGTGTAGCTACAACTAGAAAGTGATCTGATATATCTGTGGCCCCTCTATAAACATGTACATCCTGAAGTCTACTCAACAATCTTTTATCTACCAATACATAATCCAACAAACTACTGTTCAGATATTTGGCAGTTGATGTGTCAGCAGTTGGGTTTATAAAGGACGAGGTTAACCGTAGAATTGATGAAGGAAAAAAGGTGCGCGGTGCATTAAAGTGTCTGTGGAGATTAATATCCATGGAGGCAAAGAAGGGAATGTATGAGAGTATAGTGGTACCAACACTCTTATATGGGTTTGAAGCATGGGTTGTGAACACTGCAGTAAGTGGAAGGCTTCATAATATTTACACCAATGTTTGGTGTAAATATTAGGCAGAGAATTCGTAGTGTAGAAATTAGGAGGAGGTGTGAAGTTACAAAAAGTATTATTCAGAGGGCTGAATAGAGGTTCTTGAGGTGGTTTGATCATTAGAAAAGATGGAGCAAAATAGAATGACTTTGAGGGTGTATAAATCTGTAGTGGAGAGGAGGGGGGGTAGGGGTCATCTTAAGAAAGGATGGAGGGAGGGGGTAAAAAAAGTTTTGTGTGCAAGGGGCCTAGACATGCAGCAGGCATGTGTGAGCATGTTCGATAGGAGTGAATGGAGATGAATAGTTTTTGGGACCTGATGAGTTGTTGGAGTGTGAGCAGGGTAATATTTTGTGAAAGGATTCAAGGAAACTGGTTAGCCAGACTTGAGTCCTGGAGGTGGGACATACAATTCCTTCACTTTAACCCTTTCAGGGTTTCGGCCGTACTAGTATGGGTTGCACGCCAGTGTCCATGACATACTAGTACACATAAATTCTAGCGCCTTCAAATCTAGTGAGAGAAAGCTGGTAGGCCTACATATGAAAGAATGGGTCTATGTGGTCAGTGTGCGCAGTATAAAAAAAATCCTGCAGCAAGCAGTGCATAATGAGAAAAAAAAAAAACTTTGACCGTCTTTTTGGATTAAAACAGCGATTTTGCACTATATTTTCGTATGGTATTTATTGTTGTATTCTAGTTTTCCTGGTCTCATTGTATAGAATGGAATACATATTTCAGAAATTGAGATGATTTTAACTGGTTTTACAATGAAAAGTACCTTGAAATTGAGCTCAAAGTAGCAGAAATGTTCGATTTTTACCAAAGTTCAAAAGTAAACAAATCATGCTAAGCGTCCAATACACATCAACTGGTGAGTCTAATATTCCTTCACAAGTGCGCCAATATTATTTATACCATTTCTACACTAATGCAGAAGTCTGCATAACAGTAAATCTTGTTTTTTTTTGTGAGAAAAAAAATTCAAAGTGGAAAGCAAAAGAAATGTAAGAGGGGCCTGGGGACGTGACTAATGAACAGAGGAAATGTTATTTTAGTGCCAGGAATGTCTTTCTTGTTTATTCTGGACCCTATTTGGAAATTGGCATCTTTTGAAATTTGTGTGAAATTGGCAAAATTGCTAAATTCTAACCACTGTATTGAATAGTTGAAATTGGTAAATGGGTGGTTTCTTGCACTCATTCGATAGAAAAAATGGAGTTCTAGCGAAATAGTTATGATTTTTGTCGACTAGTACGTTGGAATTGGCCGAAAATATGGCTCAAAGTGGGGAAAATCGCTGATGCATAAACATCGTCGAGACCGCTAACTTTGTGAGAGCATAATTCCATAAGTTTTCCATCAAATTTCATACTTTTCATGTCATTATGATCGGGAAAAGATTCTCTATCTTTTCATAAGAATTTTTTTTTTTTTTTTTTTTTTTTTTTTTTTTTTTTTTTTTTTTTTTTTTTTATTTTTTTTTTTTTTTTTTTTTTTTTTATTTTTTTAAATTTTGGGGACCCTGAGAACAAGTCTCTGAGAGGGCCTGTGGACCCTGAAAGGGTTAAAGGAGGGGCTTGGGATATTGGCTGTTTGGAGTGACCCCTAAACTGTCATATCTTGGCACCTCTGCAAAGACAGTGATTTTTTGTGAATGAAGGTGAAAGTGTTTCTTTTTTTTGGGTCACCCTACCTCAGTGGGAGATGGCTGACGTGTTAATAAAATTAAACTTAATATTTCAGTAAGTAGGATTTGATTATCTGTTGCATTTATGATGTTGTCTATGATAGAACATCATTGTATGTTCTTAAATTGTTGAAGTTCAAATATAAGTCAGTCTTGATTATTTTCTTAGAAAATATATAACACTCAACAAGCCTCTGGTAAGACAGTGATAGTGATAATAAAAGTGTTACTTTTTTTCGGGTCACCCTGCCTTGGTGGGAAATGGCCGATGTGTTAAAAATAATTTCATAATTTGTCATAATGTTTTTTTTCATAAACATTTTGACAGGAATAGATTAGTTGGTTTTAAAGTGGATATAAAACCCTTTGCTCTAATGTATATTGAACTAAAGATATGTTTCTCACATTCCAGCGTTATTCAACAGACGCTTATGATAGAACTCAGTATGTCAGGGGAGGCCCAGTTGTTCCAACTGCAGAGGAGTTGCGCATTGTCCGGCAGGTTCACGAAGAATATGAACGGAAGGGTGGATGGGCCCGCATATACCCCACGCCAGACTCATGGTCACTGTATGGGGGCTTACAAGAATATGATAGTCCACTCAATTTGATTCTTCATTATCACTTGTACCCACAGATTCCTCGCACTAATAGGTAAATTTAATGTTGATGTAAATGTTATTGCCATTAACGTGATGTAGTTTTTAGTGTTAGTAATTCTTAAAACACTGAAGTGAACACATGGTAATTGTTCCATTTTCTCTTAATATACATGTACTCGTACAACTATCTAGCACTATTGAAGCTTGTGTGTGTGTTCCCTTCTATATACCACTAAATTCTTCATGGCTCTTTTAGTCTCCCTTACAGACTTTAGTACAGCTCTGCAGTTCCTTAAAATAGGGCATCTTCTTTCTGCTTTAGGCACATCACCTGCCAGAGGTCATTAGCACTGGAACAGATTAGTTTATTTTAATTCTATCACTTCATCACTATCTGTATTTCGTGGGTGAAGAGTGGACTCTTCGGCTGCACTTGCTCTATTGCCAGACTTGTGAATATTGGTCAAAAAGAGTGTCATATATTGATAGTCACATACACATATACTTTACTACCATGTGTTTGATTAATATTTTACATTCTAAGAATTCATTTATCTGTAGCTTGATCTCCCTTAACCATTAACTTTTATGTCCTAACATTAATAAATGACTATATATTTACTTATCCCTGACATAATTTTGACTCTATTTTGGCATTAATAAAATAACTTTCTCATTTAGGTAGAGATACGCAGGGAGTAGCTAGCAAGAAGATATTCATTATTGGGTACTCTGTTAATTTTTAGGGAAGAATTATTCAAAGTAAATTATTTATGAATAGAATTTTTTTTATTGTATGCAAAAGAAGATATTGACTGAAATAGGCCAGGGAAAAAGTTAATAAATTATGATGTGTATATTTTGTGAATATGTTCTGCATTTATAAGTGCTAAGCTTGTGTGGATTATTCATCACCAGAAAGGGTGAAGGCTAGATCCTGTCTTCTAATTGTGAAAAACATGCTACTCTTGCAGCCACTGTATGATACGTGAATGATACGAATAAAGAAAACGTTTGAAGAAGGATTGAACGTGAATAACAAAGACCAGTGTGCTGGGAGAATAGGGAGGAAGCAGTAAAGAATGCTATTCAGTATTACATTTCTGAAATGCACTTAAATAAAAAAAATTTTAAGATTTGTGATTATTAGATACGAGGCTCTTCCAGATGTGAAGAGTATTATAAAAATTAGTTGGCCTGATAGCTGTTGAATTAGTTGTGGTTATGTTATGTTTCTTACATGTCGATTTGGTCATTTGCTAATTTTTTTGAGTACTAAATCTAACCCAGCTGTGCCTCTAACCTTGTGCTGGTGCCATATTAATGTACAGATATGGCAGAGTGGCACCCAGCCGAATGTCAGGAGTATCTAGTAGTGGGCTAGCATCCTCCTTGGAACGTCTCACCTGCTACGAGCGTGGTTTGCCCAAAGGTCTTGCTTTCTTCAAGAACAAGAAAAACTTGGGTAGGCTACAACACCTCACTACAAATACAGCAATAAGTAATCCAAATTACATTGATCAGTATTAGAGATCTCATTTAGCTTCAGTTTAGAAATATATGTTGTATTGCTAGCCAAGCAGTAATTCATCCATGCACGTTAAAGAGTTAGAAAACTTTAGAAACGTGATACTAAGGAAAACATAATATCCATTACTTAGGGTTTTACTTGTACAATACATGTATAATGTATCTGTGTACTGTATCTTGATTAACGTATAAAATTTTGTAGTATTTATTAAAATCTAATGCATTTTTCTTATTTATGAAATGGAAAAATTAAGCAGGTAATGGAAACTGGCTAAATTGTAATATAGAACAAAATTTAGTGTAAACTATCAGTCTCCCTGTCTGCATCTTGGATTCCTTATTGTACCTGGACGCTTCCACTGCTTGATGGGTGGCCAGATATAAATTATCCTTTTGACATTTTAAATCCATTGTAAGTGTTTGTTAAAGATTCTTGGAAAGATCACCTGACTTGTTTGTTAGAGAAATCTACACTCTTAAATTAAATAAATTTTGCCCCAATGTAGTTACAGGATTTAATTAATGAGTTATTTGCCATTTTATCCCTCTCACCCTCTCTTTTCTTTTACATTGATGGCAATATACACCTTCCTCCTCTCCATTTCCCTCCTATTTATATACATATTCTTGGTCAGTCTGAAATTGTTCATTTTTCTCTACTTTTGTTCCACTTCTGCATTATTCTTCCCATGTGCAGTGCGTACCTCTTTCTCATATTCATTCCTTTTGCAATTAACCCACAGTTTAGAGATGAAACTTAGATAATATTTTGGCTCGTCCTGAACCGTTACCAAGATGCAAATGACAAACCTACCATCTAAAGTTTCTTCTCTAAATTGCTGGTTGTAAATTGTTGCAGTCACAGTATTGAGAATTGTATTCTTCATCTTCTTTACTTGCTCTTTACTCTCGTCTGACTTACTTATACTTCATAAAAATTTATTTCTACTGCTTGCACTCTCCCTGATAATATAGTATAACAATAATGTGTGACTCCCTTACACCAGAGTCTGACGTAATACTTTAAGTCACAAGACTTCTTTATTACTATCTTGTTTCATGAGTAAAATTGGACTAAATGTTATTGAAATATGTATTTCACTGATTTGTGGGCAGCTCATATTTCTCCATTAATAACCAATGTTTTTGTTGTTATTCAGCAGTATTAATAATTCTTCTCGATCTCTATATCTACCACAAATAATTTTTTTAAAATTAACTTAGCTCAACTAATGAAACTATTGACATTATATACAGGACTTGCATAACATCTCAGATTTTAGGCTAAATTTTAACATATGATAACTACAGGTACTGTATTTCAAAATATGGAAGCATAATAGAAAATGTTGTCTGATGCTGTTCGTTTCTCTTTTACACCAGGGTCGAGCAAGAAGGACGATAAGTCAATTTGCCGGGATTTGAAGCAAGTCAAGGCCAGTGTCATGAAAGCTCTGGAGAATGGACTTGCTCTTAGGTAAAGTTTTAATTCATTGTTAGATTGGGGAAGCAGATTTTTTTTTTTTTTCACATTTCAAAATCAAAGTACAGTGGACCCCCGCCTTACGATATTAATCCGTTCCTGAGAGCTCATCGTAGGCCAAAATTATCGTTAGCCGAATTAATTTTCCCCATAAATAATGGAAATCAAATTAAACCGTTCCTGACACCCCAAAGTATGAAAAAAAAAATTTTTACCACATGAAATATTAATTTTAATACACACAAACTGAAGAATAGAATACATGACACTTACTTTTATTGAAGATCTGGTGATGATTGATGGGATGGGAGGAGGGGAGAGTGTGGAAGTTATTGTTTAGAAGGGGAATCCTCTTCCGGTAGGACTTGAGGTAGCAAGTCCTTTTCCGGGGTTACTTCCCTTCTTTTAATGCCACTAGGATCAGCTTGAGAGTCACTGGACCTCTGTCGCACAACAAATCTGTCTATAGAGCTCTGTACCTCCCGTTCTTTTAAGACTTTCCTAAAATGGGCCATAACATTGTCATTGTACAGGTTGCCAACACGGCTTGCAGTAGCTGTGTCAGGGTGATTTTCATCCGTAAAGGTTTGCAGTTGAACCCACTTTGCACACATTTCCTTAATCTTTGAAGTAGGCAACTTCCTCAATTTCTCTCTCCCCTCCTCTAAAGCAGTTTCCTCAGGTCTGGCCTCTTGCTGTTGAAGATGATCTTGCAGCTCATCAGTGGTTAGTTCTTTATTGTCCTCCTCCACCAACTCTTCCACATCCTTCCCACTAACCTCCAACCCCAAGGACTTCCCCAATGCCACAGTGGATTCCACAACTGGCATATGCTTCTCAGGGTTAGCCCCAAACCCTTCAAAATCCCTTTCTTCTACACATTGTGGCCACAGTTACTTCCAAGCAGAGTTCAAGGTCCTCTTAGTCACTCCTTCTCAAGTCTTACCTATAAGGTTTACACAACTGAGGATACTAAAGTGATCTTTCCAAAACTCTCTTAGAGTCAGTCAAGTGTCTGAGGTCACTTCAAAGCACTTTTGAAACATAGCTTTTGTGTAGAGTTTTTTGAAGTTTGAAATGACCTGCTGGTCCATGGGCTGCAGGAGAGGAGTGGTATTAGGAGGCAAAAACTTGACCTTAATGAAGCTCGTGTCCCCAGAAAGTCACTCTGCCAAGTCTGAAGGATGACCAGGAGCATTGTTTAATACCAGGAGGCACTTAAGGACCAATTTCTTTTCCATTAGGTAATTTTTCACAGTGGGGGCAAATGCATGGTGTAACCAGTCATAGAAAAAGCCCCTAGTGAACCATGCCTTACTGTTTGCCCTCCACAGTACACACAAATTAGCCTTGACGACATTGTTTTGCCTGAATGCTCTTGGGAGTTTCAGAGTGATACACCAATAAAGGCTTCACTTTGCAATCACCACTAGCATTAGCACATATCTAAAGAGTAAGCCTGTCTTTCATAGGCTTATGTCCTGGGAGTGCCTTTTCCTCCTGAGTAATGTAGGTCCTGCTTGGCATTTTCTTCCAAAACAGGCCTATTTCGTCACAATTGAACACTTGTTCAGGTTTCAATTCTTCACTGTCTATGTAATCCTTGAATTCCTTCACATATTTTTCAGCCGCTTTTTGGTCCGAACTGGCAGCCTCACCATGCCTTATCACACTATGTATGCCACTACGCTTCTTAACCCTTAAACTGTCCAAACAGATCTTCGTTCACATGCGTAGTGCTCCAAAAGTAGATCTACGTTTTTTTTTACGTATTTTCAAATGTAACAAAAAAAAATGTAGATCAAAGTTTTTTTTACACATTTTCAAATGTAAAAAAAAAAAAAAGTCTACTTTTTTTTTACATACTTTCAAATGTTGAAAAAACGTGGATCTATGTTTGGACAGTTTAAGGGTTAAATATCTCGAACCAACCTTTGCTGGCCTTAAATTCACTCACATTACCACTAGTTGCAGGCATTTTTCTAATTAAATCGTCATGCAACTTCCTAGCCTTTTCACATATGATCGCTTGAGAGATGCTATCTCCTGCTATCTGTTTTTTGTTTATCCACACCAATAACAGTCTCTCAACATCTTCTATCACTTGCGATCTCTGTTTCGAAAACAAACTTGCACCTTTTGCAAGAACAGCTTCCTTGATTGCCGTTTTGTTGGCCAAAATAGTAGCGATGGTTGATTGGGGTTTGGTATACGACCTGACCAGCTCCGAGACACGCACTCCACTTTCGTATTTAGCAGTTATCTCCTTCTTCATTTCCATAGTAATTTTCACCCTTTTTACCACAGGGTTGGCACTAGAAGCTTTCTTGGGGCCCATGGTGACTTATTTTGCAGTTACAAGCACTAAAAACACTGTGATAATATGAATTGTACCGAATGTATGCTTAGATGCGACTGCACTGGCTGGCTTGTAAACACTGGCATCCACGGGGCAGCTGAGGCCACATGTGAGACACGTCCAAGACGAATCACGTAAGGCGAGTTTTTTATCGTGAGGTGAGGCAAAATTTTTCAGTTCAAATGCTTTGTATGGCGGATTTAACGTAACACGATGCATTCGTAAGGCGGGGATCCACTGTACTAAGTGCAACAAGCACCTGAAGATGTTTCCTCTTCTATTTGCAACATAATCACTGTCAAAAAATAGTGAAATTCCGATCACATTCATGATTTCTCTCATTATTCCTTGATAATGTGAGAAATCACAAACGTGCTTGGAATTTCACTATTTTTTCACAGTGGTTATTTTGCATATTGTGATAGCACTTGTTTACTGTGATCTTATTGCATCCTAATATTTAAAGAACAGGAGGTGTATTTTCACTTGTTTGGCTGAATATTATTTATTTTTTATTAACACATCGGTCATTTCCCACCAAGGCAGGGTGGCCCAAAAAAGGAAAAACTTTCATCATTATTCACTCCATCACTATCTTGCCAGAGACATGCTTACACTACAGTTATAAAACTACAACATTAACACCCCTCCTTCAGAGTGCCAGCACTGTACTTGCCATATCCAGGAATCAAGTCCAGCCTGACGGTTTCCCCGAATCCCTTCATAAATGTTATTTTGCTGACACTCCAACAGCACATCAAGTCCTAAAAACCATTTGTCTCCATTTGCTCCTATCTAACATCCTCATGCGTGCTTACTGGAAGTCCAAGCCCCTTGCACACAAAACCTCCTTTACCCTCTCCCTCCAACCTTTCCTAGGCCGACCCCTACCCCACCTTCCCTCCACTACAGATTTATACACTCTGTCATTCTATTTCGTTCTATCCTCTCAGCATGTCCAGTCCATCTCAATAACCCCTCCTTAGCCCTCTGGATAAGTTTTCGTAATCCCACATCTCCTAATCTCCAAACTATGGATTCTCTGCATTACAGTGGACCCCCGGTTAACGATTTTAATCCGTGCAAGAGGGATAATTGTTATGCGAAATAATCGTTATGCGAATGAATTTTCCCCATAAGAAATAATGGAAATAAAATTAATCCGTGCAAGATGCCCAAAAGTATGAAAAAAATTTTTTTTTACCACATGAAATGTTAATTTTAATACACACAAACTGAAAAAGGCATGCACAATTACATGACACTTACTTTTATTGAAGATCTGGTGATGATTGATGGGATGGGAGGAGGGGAGAGCATTATCTTCTTACTGTTTAGAAGGGGAATCCCCTTCCATTACGACTTGAGGTAGCAAGTCCTTTTCCGGGGTTACTTCCCTTCTTCTTTTAATGCCACTAGGACCAGCTTGAGAGTCACTGGACCTCTGTCGCACAACAAATCTGTCCATAGAGCTCTGTACCTCCCGTTCCTTTACGATTTGTCTAAAATGGGCCACAACATTGTCATTGAAATAGTCACCAGCATGGCTTGCAACAGCTGTGTCAGGGTGATTTTCATCTATAAAGGTTTGCAGTTCAACCCACTGTGCACACATTTCCTTAATCTTTGAAGTAGGCACAATGGATTCCACAACTGGCATAGGCTTCTCAGGGTTAGCCCCAAACCCTTCAAAATCTTTCTTAATTTCCATACTAATTCTCACCCTTTTTACCACAGGGTTGGCACTAGAAGCTTTCTTGGGGCCCATGGTCACTTATTTTCCAGAAACAGCACCGAAAACACTGTAATAATACGAAATATTCCGAGTGTATGCTTGGATGTTACCACGGAGGCTGGCTGGTAAACAATGGGACGGGCGGCACATGTGAGGGCACATTGGACGCGTCTCGGACGAAAATCGGTGAGCGGGTTTTTAATCGGTATGCGCGGCAAAAATTTTGCGATAAAAGTAAGCGGTATGCGGAAAAATCGCTATGTGATGCCATCGTTATGCGGGGGTCCACTGTATAATCACGAAGCACATAGCCCTCAGACATGACATCTCCACTGTCTCTAGCCTTCTTGTTGCAACATCAACAACCCATGCCTCACATTCATACAAGAGTGTTTGTATTCGACTGAATGTGCAAATTAATTGCTTAAACAAAATTATTAGTTTTAGCCATAATATTTATTGCTGTACAAAGAAAGTATAATTCAAAATTCTGCAGTCATCTTCCAAAATATGTAAATGTAAAAAAAAATTGGTATATAAGAGTCTTTTATTAGTGTGGCATTTTTGAGCATCATATGATATTATATAAATGTGATGCAATTTTTACCATTACATTATACAATCCTGCTGGGTGGGAAGTAATTGATGGGTTAAAACATTGGTCAGACAGTGATCAAATTAATAACAATGTATTCTCTCTCTCACCTTTCAGCAAGTATCAGGCTCGCATGGCATTTTCAGTGTACTTGCAACATGTTCAGAGAAGGCTCATGATTGGCTGTGATGAAGAAAAGCAAACAGATTTAGTTTACCGCTTCCTAAGATCTGCATCTCGTACACTTCACACTCCTATGAATGTTCAGGTGCTGTATATGTACTGTGTTGCCTTTTGTCTGTTGAACACTCAGTATGCAGAAAAAAATGCTTACTATAATACAGTGGAACCTTGGTTTTCGTGATTAATTCATTCCAGAAAGTCTGACGAAAACCGAATTGTACAAAAACTGAAGCAATATTTCCCATAAGAAATAATGTAAATCCAATTAATCCGTTCCAGACACCCAAAAATATTAAAAAAAATACATTTTATAGAGAATATCTAGTTTTACATACAGAAATCAATGAGAAATAAATATAAATGACTAATGAAATGGATAAACGAACATTTAACATCACTTTTATTGAAGACTCTTGTTGGTGTATGGAAGATGGCGAGGAGGGGAGAGGGAGGAGAGGTTATTGTTTGGGAGGGGAATCCCCTTCCATAAGGACTTCAGGTATCAAGGCTGTATCTGGGGTTACTTCTCTTCTTTGTCTTTTACTGGCACTAGGACCAGCTTGAGTCACTGTACCCCTGTCGCACAAAAAAAAATCTGTCCAGAGAGGTCTGTTTCTGGCATCTCTTTAAGATATGCCTAAAATAGGACAAAGCATTGTCATTGAACATGTTGCAGACACTGCTTGGAACAGCCTTGTTAGGGTGATATTTCTCCACAAAACTTTGCAACTCACTCCACTTTGCACACATGTCCTTAATCACTGAAGAAGGCACATTCTCCCCTCTCTCTTTAAGATAAGATTTTGTTCGGATTTTTAACCCCGGAGGGTTAGCCACCCAGGATAACCCAAGAGAGTCAGTGCGTCATCAAGGACTGTCTAAATTATTTCCATTGGTGTCCTCAATCTTGTTCCCCAGGATGTGACCCACACCAGTCAACTAACACCCAGGTACCTATTTGCTGCTAGGTGAACAGGACAGCAGGTTCAGTCATTCATTCATTAGAGGTTTGCCGGTACTTCCGGCCCGGGTCTTCTCCATATGGTGACCCGGCTGTGGCTCCCGGTTGGGGGTGTCGTTCATCTTCTTTCTTCTATCTTCTTTCTTGGGCCCTCCAGCTGGAGGGTAACCTCTTCTTCTCTCTTGCGGCGACTCCCCGGACGGGAGTGTCATCTCGCTTCTCATCTTCATCAGCACTTGGTTTTCATCAGCAGGCGTCCACTTGGGCTTCATTGGCAGGCATCGCCAGGTTGAGGGTCTTCCGGAGGAGGACAACAGGTGTAAGGAAACGTGTTGAAGTGTTTCCACCCTCTGGGAATCGAACCCGGGCCCTCTGTGTGCGAAGCGGGAGCTTTAGCCACCAGGCAGTTCCCTCAGCTGCGATCTGTTGCTGTTCCAGTTGAAGGTGTTGCAGCTCTTCAGTGGTTAGCTCTTCCCAGTGGTTGTCCACCAACTCTTTCACATCCTGGCCACTCGCACAGAGGCGTCGTAAGGGGGGGGGGCCGCCCCAGGTGACACCATTTAGGGGTGACACCATAGAGCCTCTGAAGAAGGTGACACTAATGCACAAAACAGTGCCTCACCAACATAAGAGAAGAATCCTTTGTTGATTTTGATGATTTGATAGATTGATTTTGATGATGTGATAGATGATTTTGCATAATTGAAGGCAAGGAAATGTAAGATCAAATTTACTGTGATGTTACCTGTACTCAAGGTCAAATTGGAACTAGTGTTTCTCTGATATTGCAATGTTTTTCTTTATTTTTCAAGTTTTTTTGTTTTGTTTTTGCATTGTTGAAGATGAATAAATGTAGGATCTGTTGGCTGTACTCAAAGTGGTATTTGCGTTTGTTCCCTCAATATTACTACGATTATTTATTTTATCATTAATAAAGTTAAGAAGTATTCTCCTGTTCAGTTTATGGCCCTTAAATGTTCTCATTGTTAAATATTTGTCACTGGTCATGTAGTAGTGACATAACTGGAGTTTACTCCCCCCATCCCCCCACCCTTGAATTTCATGGGGGTGACGCCAAAGATGCTGCCCGGGTGACACCAGAGATTCCGCCCCGGGTGACACCAACTCTAGCGACGCCTCTGTACTCAAATCCAACCTCATGGACTTCCCCAGACACAATAGATTACACAACAGGCTTAGGTCATCAGGGTCAGCCTCAAAGCCTTCAAAATCCTTCACTTGAACACATTCTGGCCACAGTTTTCTGCCAAGCCTTATCTATAAAGCTTATGCAATTGAGGGTATTGAAGTGATTTCTCCAAAACTCTCTTAGTCAGTTCAGTGTCTGAGGTCACTTCAAAGTACCTTTGAAACATTGGTGTGGTGCAGAGTATTTTGAAGTTTGAAATGACCTGCTGGTCCATGGGCTGGATGAGAGGATTGGTATTAGGGGGCAAGAACTTCACTGTGATGAAACTAAACTCCTCCAGCAATTGGTCTTCCAAGTCTGGGGGATGAACAGGAGCATTGTCCATTACCAGAAAGTACTTGAGTGATGATTTATTTTCTAAGAGGTATTTATTTACACTCGGGCCAAACACTTCATTGACCCACTCAATGAAAATTTGCCTTGTGACCCATGCCTTATTGTTAGCCTTCCACATCACACACAATTTACTCTTGATGACATTGTTTTTCTTGAACACTCTGGGATTTTCAGAATGATAGACCAGTAAAGGCTTCACTTTGAAATCCCCACTAGTGTTACCACTGAACAAAACAGTAAGCCTATCCTTCATAGGCTTGTGTCCTGGCAGTGCCTTTTCCTCCTGTGTGATGTAGGTCCTCTTTGGCATTTTCTTCCAGAAGAGGCCTGTTTCATCACAATTGAACACTTGTTGGGGTTTTAATTTTTCAGCCTCTATGTACTCTTTGAATTCATCAACGAATTCTTTGGCCGCACGTTTGTCTGAACTTTCAGCCTTGCCATGCCTCAACACACTGTGTATGCCAGATTGCTTCTCGAATTTGTTGAACCAGCCTTTGCTGGTCTTAAATTCACTAACAGCAGCACTTTTTCCAGGCATTTTCTTTACGAGATCCGCATGCAACTGCCTTGCCTTTTTGCGAATTATCGACTCTAAACACTATCTCCCGCTAACTGTTTTTCGTTGGTCCGCACCAACAACTTCTCAACATCTTCGATTGTTTGCAATATCTGTTTTGTTAGCACATTTACCCCTTTAGCACCATCAGCTTCCTTGATTTCTTTTTTCTTTGCCAGGATGGAACTGAGCATTGATGCTGATTTCCCGTACATCCTGGTGAGATCGGCCACCCGTACGCCAATTTCATACTTAGCTACAACTTCTTTTTTGAATTCTATCATGTTTCTTGCCGCCTTTATCCAAGGGGCTGTCACTTGGAACTTTCTTTGGCCCATGATGGCTTATTTAGCAGTCACACTCAATAAACAAGCATAAAAAACAATAGATTATTACGAAATGTTTCAGCTGAATGCTCGGGGTGATGCTCACTCAATGATAAACAAAGGCAGACCTAGTCACTCGGCGCTTGAGTGGCTGAGTGATGTGGGGGGGGGGGCACACAGACGTGTTTGGTACAGACCATTGTCAACTCTACGAAAACCGAGGTGATTTACAAAAACTGGGACAAAATTTTGACGGAAAAAGTCATCGAAAACCGAATCCTACGAAAACCGGGGCGTACGAAAACCGAGGTTCCACTGTATTGAAATAATGGGAATTGAAATGTTATAGGTTTTCTAATTTATTGAAGTCAAAATTTTTCACAGAAACTATGAAGTTTCACATAAGAGTTGAAAGATTATTATTTTGTATGAGGAAATTAATTTTAATGGAAAATAGTTGAGTGCATAAATTTTACAATTATGTAAATAGTTTGTCAGTCTGGTGATAAAAGTACTGAAAGGAGGAAAGATTAGTTGTAAGGTGAGGTAAAATATTATTTTGGATGCTATAGAAATATTGGTTTTGAATGTTTAATAGCATCCTATAAAAGAAGAATATTAATGGTATTTCATGATTTCTATTCTAAAACACAATAGTGTAGCTATTTCAAGGGATGTGTTCTATTGTCTTTTGCTTCTTATCTTTCTATAGTTAATGTAAAAAGCTGAATTACCGGAGTTGGTCACATTTTCAACCTTCGGCTGTAAATATATCAAGATTAATATGTTTGGTGTCTGCTCATCTAGATGGTAGTCAGCCTTAAAAACAGACATTCCCTAACAACTATAGGTTTTACTTATGTTAACCCTTTAACTGTCCAAATGTAGATCTACATTCTCACTCAGCGCTCCGAATACATTGGAACCTCTGCTTGCGAGTTTAATCTGTTCCATGACCTTGCTTGCAACTGGATTTGCTTGTTTGCAGAGTCAATTTTTCTAATTTAAATTAATTGAAATGCAATTAATCCGTTCCAGTGGAATTCTGTACGTACTTCAGTAATTTTGCTAATATCAACTTTATGGCTTGTTTATCTATCTCACTTGATCAAATATGACATAATAAACAATATAAATAACATAGAAACCTGATAAACACTCTAAAATGAATAAAATATGTCATTATGTGACAAGGAGGCTTTAGGAAAGGTAGGGGGTGTGTGGACCAGGTGTTTACAGTGAAACATATAAGTGAACAGTATTTAGATAAGGCTAAAGAGGTCTTTGTGGCATTTATGGATTTGGAAAAGGCACATGACAGGGTGGATAGGGGGGCAATGTGGCAGATGTTGCAGGTGTATGGTGTAGGAGGTAGGTTACTGAAAGCAGTGAAGAGTTTTTATGAGGATAGTGAGGCTCAAGTTAGAGTATGTAGGAAAGAGGGAAATTATTTCCCAGTAAAAGTAGGCCTTAGACAAGGATGTGTGATGTCACCGTGGTTGTTTAATATATTTATAGATGGGGTTGTAAGAGAAGTAAATGCGAGGGTCTTGGCAAGAGGCGTGGAGTTAAAAGATAAAGAATCACACAAAGTGGGAGTTGTCACAGTTGCTCTTTGCCGATGACACTGTGCTCTTGGGAGATTCTGAAGAGAAGTTGCAGAGGTTGGTGGATGAATTTGGTAGGGTATGCAAAAGAAGAAAATTAAAAGTGAATACAGGAAAGAGTAAGGTTATGAGGATAACAAAAAGATTAGGTGATGAAAGATTGGATATCAGATTGGAGGGAGAGAATATGGAGGAGGTGAATGTATTCAGATATTTGGGAGTGGACGTGTCAGCGGATGGGTCTATGAAAGATGAGGTGAATCGTAGGATTGATGAGGGGAAAAGGGTGAGTGGTGCACTTAGGAGTCTATGGAGACAAAGAACTTTGTCCTTGGAGGCAAAGAGGGGAATGTATGAGAGTATAGTTTTACCAACGCTCTTATATGGGTGTGAAGCATGGGTGATGAATGTTGCAGCGAGGAGAAGGCTGGAGGCAGTGGAGGTGTCATGTCTGAGGGCAATGTGTGGTGTGAATATAATGCAGAGAATTCGTAGTTTGGAAGTTAGGAGGAGGTGCGGGATTACGAAAACTGTTGTCCAGAGGGCTGAGGAAGGGTTGTTGAGGTGGTTCGGACATGTAGAGAGAATGGAGCGAAACAGAATAACTTCAAGAGTGTATCAGTCTGTAGTGGAAGGAAGGCAGGGTAGGGGTCGCCCTAGGAAAGGTTGGAGGGAGGGGGTAAAGGAGGTTTTGTGTACGAGAGGCTTGGACTTCCAGCAGGCATGCGTGAGCGTGTTTGATAGGAGTGAATGGAGACAAATGGTTTTTAATACTTGACGTGCTGTTGGAGTGTGAGCAAAGTAACATTTATGAAGGAGTTCAGGGAAACCGGCAGGCTGGACTTGAGTCCTGGAGATGGGAAGTACAGTGCCTGCACTCTGAAGGAGAGGTGTTAATGTTGCAGTTTAAGAACTGTAGTGTAAAGCATACATTTGGAGTATGCGGCACCAGTTTGGAACCCACACCTAGCCAAGCACATAAAGAAACTAGAGAAAGTGCGAAGGTTTGCAACAAGACTAGTCCAGGAGCTAAGGGGTATGCCCTATGAGGAGAAGTTAAGGGAAATCAACCTGACAACACTGGAGGACAGGAGAGATAAGGGGGACATGATAATGAAATTAAATACCGAGAGGAATTGACAAGGTGTACAGAGACAGAATGTTCCAGAGATGGGACATAGCAACAAGGGGACACAGTTGGAAGTTTAAGACACAGATGAATCACAGGGATGTTAGGAAGTATTTCTTCAGTCAGAGTAGTCAGGAAGTGGAATAGTTTGGGAAGCAATGTAGTGGAGGCAGGATCCATACATAGCTTTAAGCAGAGGTATGATAAAGCTCATGGTTCAGGGAAGTGACCCAGTAGCGACCAGTGAAGAGGTGGGGCCAGGAGCTATGACTCGACCCCTGCAACCACAACTAGGTGAGTACAGAGACAGAGACACAGAGACAGACACACACAGAGATAGACAGAGATAGATACAGACATAGACACAGAGATACACAGACAGATATACAGATACAAATAGATATACAGATACAAACAGATATACAGATACAAACAGACGGAGATAGAGACAGCCAAAGTCAGCCAGTCAGCCTGATAAACATGCATTACACATTTCAGAATTGTTTCTCTATACTTAGGTCATAGGTTATAAGACATTCTGGCAGGATGACACTACCATTGGTACCAAAATTGAAAGGATGTTGCACAAACGCTGCACATGGGTTATTATTGAGGTTTTTGATATTTCCTCGACCCCTTGTGGCCATATCCACCTCAAAGCCACTAAACTCGGGTCAGCATCACTTTCCTCCTAAAATGGAAGTGCTAATACTACATGACATCAGTGAATCCCTGGTGTTTGCCGTGCTGTTTGCTATAGCTGGCGCTCAATTGAACTGGTGCTCCCACAAGGTACTATGTGGTCCCAGGTTTTTTTAATACTGTGCATACCAAGAGTTAAGACCCATTCTGTGCTGACCAGGCATCTCAGGCCAATCGTGCCAGATTTGGAGGCAGGAAGAATAAAACATAGATCTATGTTTGGAGCACTAGCAGTAAGAATGTAGATCTACATTTGGACAGTTAAGGGGTTAAAAGCAGTTACAACAGTGCCACAAGACAAATATTTTTCATGTATAACAAGAAATGCTTGCAGTTTTTTTTTTTTTATTAGGCATGTTACCCATTGCTGAGGATAATTTGGTTTGAATTGTCTGGTTCCAGTTGGACCATCATCAAATTGTAAGTGACTTTAGATTCACATACATAGTATAATTAAAAGTAAGATGAGCATATTTTTGTGCTTAAAAAGATATTTTGTCCAGATTTCTGAATTTTGGAAAATAAAGGTAATACTTTTCTTATATTCAAGGGGTGAATTTGTAATTGTTAGTAGTTCAGTAGCTATTTCTTTTGCAGATTTATTATCCTTAGGAGTCCCTGATACAGGATACAATGACTGCCATCATGTCAACGTTGAAAATTTTACAGAATTCACAGGAAACCAAGATGACCTTACCTTGTACCTTTACCTTTGATATAACTTTATAAAATTAGTATATGTACATCATTTTTAGCCATAACTCCATTTTTATATGACTTTTTAGGTGGCTCAAATGATTAAATCTGTTTTTCCATCCAAGGAATTTATTTTTGGTTATTGTAAATTTGTTAGAAGATTTTTTCCTTAAAATGCTTGAATTTACTTTGGGTATTTATTCAAGTTGCACTTATGTTGCAGTATAAACTTGCAGATTATTTTTTTTTTTTTTTTTTTACAAAGCAACAGTTTTTTTTTTTTTTTTTTTTTTTTTTTTTTTTTTTTTTTTTTTTAATGCATTGGCCATTTCCCACCAAGGCAGGGTGACCCAAAAAGAAAGAAAAACCCTAAAAAGAAATAAAAAACTTTCATCAACATTCAACACTTTCACCATCACTAATACATACTCACTGTCTTTGCAGAGGCGCTCAGATATGACAGTTTAGATATACCTCCAAACAGCCAATATCCCAAACCCCTCCTTTAAAGTGCAGGCATTGTACTTCCCACCTCCAGAATTCAAGTCTGGCTAACCAGTTTCCCTGAGTCCCTTCACAAAATATTATGCTGCTCACACTCGAACAATTTGTCAGGTCCCAAAAACCATTTGTCTCCATTCACTCCTATTTAACATGCTCATGCACGCTTGCTGGAAGTCCAAGCCCCTCGCCCACAAAACCTCCTTTATCCCCTCCCTTCAACCTTTTCCAGGACGGCCCCTACCCCGCCTTCCTTCCCCTACACATTTATACACTCTGCAAGTTATTCTATTTTGTTTCATGCTCTCTAAATGACCAAACCACCTCAACAACCCCTCAGCCCCCTGACTAATACTTTTAGTACTCCACACCACCTAATTTCCACACTACGAATTCTCTGCGTAATATTCACACCACACTTTGCCCTTAGACATGACATCTCCACTGCCTCCAGCTTCCTCCTTGCTGCAGCATTTACAACCCATGGTTCACACCCATAGCTACCATAAAATTCTAAATATAAATATGATATACCGTAGCTACAAAACTGGTCAAAATATAAACAGAAACTTACAGCACACATCAAACATGCAATCTTGATATTGATGTGGCTCACCTGGGTGTGTAATTTCCAACTTTGGTCCCTTGCACTTGTTGCATTTCTAATAAGGCATATATCCTTGTTTATCATAATCATGTTTTCTCCTGTTCTTTACTCCTCCAGTGACATAAGGCCCAGTTCTCACTTTGTAGCTCATTTCTATCTAATTCATTTACCAGTCGTGATTCACTCCTTTGCATTCTCAAGTTTTGCTGTTTTACTAAATGATGATTTCACACTGGCACTGCATAATTAAGAATGGTTGCATAAATGAGGTACAAAGTGTTTTGACTAAGTCTTTGTCTAGGTTCCTGAATGTCGCTGACATTATCCTACCTTTTTGAGCCTCCAGCAGTAGGCTTGGTGTGATGTCCATCCTTGGTTTTTCTGTTACACTTACAGCTGCTGCCTTATCATACAATATTGTACTATTATCCTGTTTTCTCCCATTCCCATCACTTTGCACTATAACAGTTGAACATGAATAGTGTGAGTCAATGAGAATTTGTAACACAGGTTATACTTTGCAGTGATTGAATATTATAAAAAAGAAATTTACATGCCTTACAATAGCCCATTATCTAGTACTTACTTTTGTGGACTTCTTTTAATTAATTAGTGGTCTTTACCTTTTTTTCTTTAACAGAATCCTAGTAAAACATTGCCATCCGAAGCTCGAGCTGTTGTGATTTCTAAGCAGCTCGGAGATTTCATTCAAGCTTATACCAAGGAAACTCACATTTACTTGGATCAAGGAGTCTCGTCGTCATGTTCCTCTCTCTCCTCTCAGTGCCCTACTACTGTAGCCACATCATCTGAGCCATCCACTCCACATGTTACTTCCCCACCATATACCTCCACATTATCCCTCAACTCACCACCTGCTGGGCCTTCAATGTCTAGCATCTATGAGTGCCTCAACTTCATCCATTAACAATGCACCAGCATCTGTCTGTGGCTCGACATCTTCCATCAATAATTCAGGTTGTGTCCCCAAATCTGAATCCTGTTCTCTTTCCAGTAGTCCTCCGCTTGTAAAAAAATCAAAATCCTCTGCATCAATTACCAGTTCTCCACAAGTTGTTGAATCTGATTCCTTGACTTCAGCCAACAACTCAAATTTAGTGTCACTCTGTAGTTCCTCTGTGTCAATTAACAGCACACCACCAATGTATCTGTCTTGCTCAACCACTTCAGTCTGTAGTCCACCCTCAGTGTCTTTGTCTGGCTCCTTTACATCCATTAATAGTCCTCCTTCAATTGCCTTTTCAGCTTCCTCCAATTCCATTTGCAGCCCTCAATCTGTGTCAATTACTGGTTCCTCCACATCAATAAATTTTCTACCCCCTTCTAAAACACCTTCATCTGTTTCAATTTCATCCCTCAACTCAGCAACTGATATTGGAGGTGAAATAGCCACATTGCCTCCAAGAGTACGAAGACTGAAATCTGATGGAGACACAGCTATTCCCTTGATAGGTAAGCACCTTGAAGTATCTTATACCTATGCTCTTTTTCTCCCATTAAAAGTGGAATATTTTGTCCATTTTATCTCATCAGTAGGGGTGTCTGGAAGCTGGCATAGTGTGATCCAAGGAACTAGAGCTATTCTACCTCTCAAATCAAACCTGATTACTCCTCCTCCCCTCACATTCCCTAGGAACTGTATGACCTTTATAGCTTAAACACCTCCCCATGAGTGTAATATTAATTATGCTAGTTGGCATAATTTTCCTAATTGACCTAATATGGGTCAGTTGGTTTATTACAGTGTTCATCTATTCTTGTGTAATAATAAAGGAGTTTGTAGGGTATACTGTAATGTATGTCTTAATCCATTGTATTTTGCCTGAGAATCGAGATACATTGTAAAAATTATTATGTCTTGTATATTTACTTGAGTATATAATAGACTATAGTAGGATAAAAATATCAAGGTCACTGAAAGGTGAAACAATTTTGAGTAAAAAATAAAATGGTTAACAGAGATCTGTTTGTACATTTTGGCCTCAGACATGCTGAAGAAGGTATCTGACAAAAGCCAAAGTATACAGATTTCTTTTTTACCTGTTTTGTTTTTTGGTCCAAGTGGTTTCTCACCTTTCAATTTACATGTACTATGAAATATAATCTATGGTTTCAAACCTTAAAAATAAAAAATCTTTCAGAGGGAGATGGCAGCAAAATGTCTACAAGCTTAGATTCAAGTGATCTACAGAGGCAGACAAGTGATCAGCAACAGGCCAAGGATGAACACATTACCATGGATCTGTACCGAGCCTTCATGTCTAGTGCTGGGTATTGCAATACTGTAGTTATGTTAAAAAATTATTATCAAGAGCATATACACTAGAACCATATGTATGTAGATAAAGGGAATTATAATCATGTTTAGTATTTTAACCCCTTGAGGGTCTGTCCCATAGTTCTGCAGCCATAGAACTATGTCATGAGCTCAGCTCATTCAGATTAGCTATGAGCAGTAAATTTGGGTCTAGATATCAGAGCATGCCATCTATGTGGCAAGTGTGCACCATATAAAACAAACCCTGCAGCACACATGCATAATGAGAAACAACTGCAGTCGTGTTATTGGATTAAAACAGCAAAATTGCGGTGTATTTTCGTATGGTTTTTACAGTTGTATTCTCTGTTTCTTGGTCTCATTTGATAGAATGGAAGATATATTACAGAAATAGAGATGATTTTGATTGGTTTTAGTACTCAAAATAACTTCAAATTGAGCTCAAAGTAGCAAAAATGTTAAATTTTTGCCGATGTTCAAGAGTAAACAAATCACATCATGCGTCCAGTACACGTCAGCTGGGGGGTCTGATGTGCATTCATGAATGCTGTGATATTATTTACACAATTATTGCAATATTGCATAACAGTAAATCTTCTAATTTTTGGTGTGAATAAAAATTCTTTGTGAAAAAAAATAAAAATGGAATTCATGTGTAAAGCCTGCAAAGTCTGCAAATATAACTAATAAACAAAGGAAATGTTATTTTAGTGCCAGGAATGACTGCATTGTTTATTCTGGTTTTGTGGGCGAGGGGCTTGGACTTCCAGCAGGCGTGCATGAGCGTGTTCGATAGGAGTGAATGGAGACGAATGGTATTTGGGACCTGACGATCTGTTGGAGTGTGAGCAGGGTAATATTTAGTGAAGGGATTCAGGGAAACCAGTTATTTTTGTATAGCCGGACTTGAGTCCTGGAAATGGGAAGTACAATGCCTGCACTCTAAAGGAGGGGTTTGGATATTAGCAGTTTGGAGGGATATGTTGTGTATCTTTATACGTATATACTTTTAAACTGTTGTGTTCTGAGCACCTCTGCAAAAACAGTGATTATGTGTGAGTGAGGTGAAAGTGTTGAATGATGATGAAAGTATTTTCTTTTTGGGGAATGTCTCTCTTTTTGGGTCACCCTGCCTCAGTGGGAGACGGCCGACTTGTTAAAAAAAAAAAAATTGAAATTCGAATATTTTGAACTTTGTGTGACATTGGCCAAATTACCAATTTCCGATCACTTTATTGGGTAATTGAAATAGTTGATTGGGCAATTTCTTGTCTTTTTTTTTTTTTTTTTTTTTTTTTTTTTTTTTTTTTTAACAAGTTGGCCGTCTCCCACCGAGGCAGGGTGACCCAAAAAGAAAGAAAATCCTCAAAAAGAAAATACTTTCATCATCATTCAACACTTTCAACTCACTCACACATTATCACTGCTTTTGCAGAGGTGCTCAGAATACAACAGTTTACAAGCATATACGTATAAAGATACACAACATATCCCTCCAAACTGCTAATATCCCGAACCCCTCCTTTAACCCTTTGACTGTCGACGTTGTATATATACGTCTTACGAGGTACCGTGTTTGACGTATATATACTCATAAATTCTAGCGCCTTCAAATCAAGCAGGAAAAAGCTGGTAGGCTCACATGTGAGAGAATGGGTCTGTGTGGTCAGTGTGCACCATATAAAAAAAATCCTGGAGCATGCAGTGCATGATGAGAAAAAAAAACACCGACCGTTTTTTTTTTTAATTAAAATGCCGACTTTGTGGTCTACATATTTTCGTATAGTATTTATGGTTGTATTCTCGTTTTCTTGGTCTCATTTGATAGAATGGAAAACATATTATAGAAATAGAGGTGATTTTGATTGATTTTACTATAAAAAGAACCTGGAAATGGAGCTCAAAGTAGGGGAAAGGTTTGATTTTTGCCAATGTTCAAAAGTAAACAAATGATGTTATTATCCAATAAGTGTTGAACTAGCCATTCTAATATGCAGTCGTGAATGGGTTGATGTTATTTATACAATTATTACAGTATTGCAGTAGTCTGCATAACAGTAAATCTTCTATTTTTTGTTTGAATAAAAATTAAAAATAGAGAGCAAGAGTAATATTAGAGGGGCTTGGAGACGTGACTGATGAACAAAGAAAATGTTATTTTAGAGCCAGGAATGTCTACATTGTTCATTCTGGACCGTATTTTGAAATTGTCGTATTTTTTAATTTTCGTGAAATTGGCCAAATTGCAAATTTCTGACCACATTATTGGGTAGCTGAAATCGGTAAATGGGCAGTTTCTTGTACTCAATCGATAGAAAAAATGGAGTTCTAAAGAAATAGCTATGAGTTTGGGCGACTGGAACAGTGGAATTAGCCGAAAATAGGGGTCAAAGTGGGCGAAATCGCCGATTTGTAAATATCGCCGAGGTCACTAAATTTGCGAGAGCGTAATTCCGTCAGTTTTCCATCAAATTTTGTGTTTTTGGTGTCCTTACAATCGTGAAAAGATTCTCTATCATTTCATAAAAAATAATTTTTTTTTTTTTTTTTAAATTTTGCGACACCAGGAGACACTTCAGGATTGGGGGTTGCGACAGTCAAGGGGTTAAAGTGCAGGCATTGTACTTCCCATTTCCAGGACTCAAGTGCGGCTATATAAAAATAATAGGTTTCCCTGAATCCCTTCACTAAATATTACCCTGTTCACACTCCAACAGCTTGTCAGGTCCCAAATACCATTCATCTCCATTCACTCCTATCTAACACACTCAAGCATGCTTGCTGGAAGTCCAAGCCCCTCGCCCACAAAGCCTCCTTTACCCCCTCCCTCCAACCTTTTCGAGGATGACCCCTACCCCGCCTTCCTTTCCGTACAGATTTATACGCCCTCCATGTCATTCTACTTTGATCCATTCTCTCTAAATGACCAAACCACCTTATCAACTCCTCTTCAGCCCTCAGACTAATACTTTTATTAACCCACACCTCCTAAAATGATTGTTTTTTTTCTCAAAATATTCGGAGCGCTGTGCAGGTGAACGTATATATACGTTTGGACCGTTTAAGGGTTAAACTGTCCAAATGAATATTTTGAAAAATAAAAAAATTGTTTTTTTGTTTTTAAATTAACCCTTTGGGGGTCAACAGGTCCTCTCAGAGACTTGTTCTCAGGGTCGGCCAAATTTAAAAAAAAAAAATTTTTTCTTATGAAAAGATAGAGAATCTTTTCCCGATCATAATGACACCAAAAGTATGAAATTTGATGGAAAACTTACGGAATTATGCTCTCGCGAAGTTAGCAGTCTCGACGATGCTTACGCATCAGCGATTTTGCCCACTTTGAGCCCTATTTTCGGCCAGTTCCAGTGTACTAGTCGACAAAAATCATAACTATTTTGCTAAAACTCCATTTTTTCTATCGAATAAGTACAAGAAACCACCCATTTACCGATTTCAACTATCCAATAAAGTGGTCAGAAAATAGCAATTTTGCCAATTTCACACAAATTTCAAAAGATGCCAATTTCCAAATAGGGTCCAGAATAAACAAGAAAGACATTCCTGGCACTAAAATAACAAGTTCTCTGTTCGTTAGTCACATCCCCAGGCCCCTCTGATATTTCTTATATTTGTAAGAATTTTTATTCTTACAAATAAAAACAAGATTTACTGTTATGCAGACTACTGCATTAGTGTAGAAATGGTATAAATAATATCAGCGCACTTGTGAAAGAATATTAGACTCACCAGTTGACATGTATTGGACGCTTGGCATGATTTGTTTACTTTTGAACTTTGGTAAAAATCGATCATTTCTGCTACTTTGAGCTCAATTTCAAGGTACTTTTCATTGTAAAACCAGTCAAAATCATCTCAATTTCTGTAATATGTCTTCCATTCTATAAAATGAGACCAAGAAAACTAGAATACAACAATAAATACCATACGAAAATACAGTGCAAAGTCGCTGCTTTAATCCAAAAACACGGTCAAATTTTTTTTTTCTCATTACGCACTGCGTGCTGCAGTATTTTTTTTTTTATACTGCGCACACTGACCATATAGATCCATTCTTACATATGTAGGCCTACCAGCTTTCTCTCACTAGATTTTGAGGGCGCTAGAATTTAGGCGTACTAGTACATCAAAAACCCTGGGTCGTAAGATGTACTAGTACGTCCGAAACCCCCAAAGGGTTAAAGAGGGGTATTTTCTGTGTAGTATAAGAAAAAAAAATTTAGGACCAGTACTTGCCGAGATACAAGACCATGAAGTTGGGTCTGGATGCTCGCCTGAAGGCAACACCCAGTCCTGCCGCTTGCAGAAGTGTTTCCTATTTACCTTTTTTTCTCGTTTTTATTTTAATTTAAATAATTTTTATGTTCTGATAAATGGAATTTTTAATAGTTCTTGTGATTTCATAGCCAATCTTTGTTCTGACACTAATATTATGTATTGAAATAGTACTCAAATTTTAACAGTCACACTAACAGGTGAACATTTTCACCTGCCCTGGTCATTTACTGTTGTCTAGAAATATATACAAAGTATTTATAGGTCCCAGCAATGTTTTAGACATGCTGGAGTACGAACCTCCTTGAAGCATGGTGTTATGACAAGAGTCAGATAAGTGACATTTGATGAATGTGTCCTTGCCTTTATATATTTTAACTCTTGCACACAAACATATCTTCGTATGTCTCTGTATATCTGTCTGTGTGTCTGTCTGTCTGCCTAACTCTGCTTATCTGTCTGTCCAGTTCAGCTTATCTGTCTTTGTCTTCTGTATGTGCCTGGAGTATAATAGCAAGTGACATTTGATGAATGTGCACTGCTGGAGGAGGAGCCTTGCTTTGTATGTTTTTACTCTTGCACACAAACATGTCTCTGTATGTCTGTCTGTCTAGCTCTGCTTATCTGTCTGTCTAGTTCTGTTTATCTGTCTTTCTGTCTGCCTGTGTGTGTCTGTCTTTCCATCTGCTTGTCTCTGCCTCAGGGAGCGGCTAGTAAACCTGTTGGTTTGTGGTGTATGGGCTGCTC